GACTCTAATCTGGAAGAACCGGGTTTGATTCCCCACTCCTCCACATGCAGCTGCTGGTGTGACCTTGGGTCAGTCACAAGTTCTCTCAGAGCTGTTCTCTCAAGAGCAGTCCTCAAAAGAGCTCTCTAAGCCCCACCTACCTCACAGGGTGTCTGTTGTAGGGAGGGGAAGGGAAAGGAGATTGTAAACTGCTCTGAGACTCTGAGTGAAGGGCGGGGTATAAATCCACTCTTCTTATTATTATTCTTGTTTTAGGAGAGCTCACCTTTCACTTGCTTCTTTCCTTTCCAGCAGTCTCCCATACCCCAAGATCTTGTTCACACACTGCTACCCAGAAGTATATCCCCCATCCAGTATACGTGCTTTTCATTTTTGTTACCTATGTGTAGAACTCTGCATTTATTCTTTGTTGAACTGAACCTTGTTCACATCTGCCCACTTTTCCAGTGTGTTTAAATCTCATTGAATTCTATCTCTATCTTCTGGTATATTTGCTACTCCTCCCAGTTTGGTGTTATCTGCAAATTTAAAGAGTAGCTCCTCCACCCCTTCATCCAGGTCCTTTATAAAAATATTGAAAAGTACTGGGACCAGAACTGAGCCCTGTGGCACCACACTGGACATCTCCCTCCAATCAGATGAAATGCCACTGACAACTACTTTTGGGGGGTAGTTCTCCAACCAATTTCCTTGTCATGATCTGGGCTGTGACATGGTGGCTTTAGTGGTGGGATGGACTAAGTTTGGACCCTGGTGAGGCCGAGTGCCATTTGGCCTTGGCAGAGAGGGTTTTTTTTTGTTTGTTTGTTTTGCTTTTGGGCTTAAGGAAACCCCATTATCTGAAGGTGCTTGCAAGACTAAGTAAGGTTCTGGTAAGGTGTGGTGAAAAGGTTTTATTTATATTCTAGTTGTCGGGTCAACTGGATAATGAAGCAGAGTTCCTCTGATCTGGGAAAGAAAAATCAGAGGACATGCCTGTTGCTAGATGCAAGACCCGAAAGGGGGCTGCGGGTCTCATGTTGGTGGAGGACACATCAGAGAAAGCAATGGCATCCATGAGTGAAGAGACCTTACGTCTCCAGCTGCAACTTAAACAGACAGACCTTGAGTTAGAGAAAGCAAGGCTGCAGAAAGAGGAGAAAGAGACTGCAGCTAGGCTGGAGATGGAAAGAGAAAGGCAGAAAGAGGCTGCAGCTAGGACGGAGCTAGAAAGGGAAAAAATGAAGTTGGCATATGAGCTTGAGATGGCTAAGCTAGAAAAGGGCCAACCTCCTATAGATGCCACGGGGAAACAGAACTGTTGGAAGTACTCCTGGTTCAAGGACTTTTGAACAAGTCTGTTTTGACTACAAGGTCCGCTCAGAGCTGTATATGGAAAAGCTGAGACCATAGTTGAGTGGTGTCCTAGCTTCAGTGTCTGGGCAGATGGAGGGTGAAGAGAAAACAGACTACAAGCTGTTCAAGCAGAGAGTGTGGGAGAGAATGGGATTCACCAAGGAAGGGGCCCGGAAGCGCTTCAGAGAGATCAAATTTGAAGGAAAAGAGTCCTACCCACAGTTAATACACAGACTAGGAAAAGTCTATAACTTGTGGGTGGAGGTCGCTGATGCCAAGACCCTGGCTGACGTCAAGGCCCTGATGTGCATTGACCAGTTCCTGACTCTTCTTCCTGAGTACATTAGGTGCCCCCAGGACAGTGGGTGGAGCGACTGGCTGAAGCCTATGGAGGGCAGAGGTACTGCACTAATTGGGACTGGCATAATAGAGAGTTTCCTAAGTCCCCAGCCTAGTAAGCAGCCGGAAGTAAAAGGACAGCCATCCCAGGAACAGCGTCCTGATTCGCCAAGTGCTGAGATCCTAAAACCAGAGTGGTGGCAGCATCAGGTGACACCCCACCTGAGCCGTGACACATGATTACTAGCTTATTGTTACCTTTCCCCCAAAGTATTTCTCTTTGAAACATGGTGATGAAAGAGATGGAGGGACAACTTTTTTTTTTACTGTCAGAGAGTCACAAATATACTTGCTATGAATTCTGAGAGCTTATGCACACATTCAGTCAGCTCACAATGGGACAGACCTTTTGCAAAGCACCTTTAATTTGTAGATTCCCTTACATTTCTGCTACTGAATTATGGACATGCTGTTTCTAGTTTTAAAATATTAGCCAGTGTCATAATGACTGTTGGATTTAAGTTTTGATGTAGCTTGATTTGTTGTTAAACAGTAACAAAAAATACAATATTTAAGTTAGTTGTAATCAATGCTCCCTCTAAGCTGTGGAGTCTTGTGAGCAGAAAGAAAGTTTTAACCTCATCTTTGTTCCCATTAATGGAAAAATGTGCATGGACAAGATCTGGATTAATAGATAAAACCTGCATTATTATTTTATACAACCTAATGTTTTTGTTTCAATTTCTGAAGATTATTTATGTACATAATTTATCCCTATCCCTCCTGTCACCAAAGAATATATGATGAATCACACTAAAATAATATTGCATGTGTCAAATAGGTATCGCATTTGCCATGGCATCTCTTTCAACCACTCTAAGTGAATTGGACCTAAAGGAGACTTTCCATGGATACAAAGAACTTTAATTAAAAGAAACACCTACACTATATTTAATTCACTTTAGGTTTCCATATGGGTAACTGTCTAATGTAATTTGTTTTTCGCAGATACATTCAGTTAACGAGTCTTCAGGATCGAAATGAAAAACTTTTCTATAAAGTGCTGACTTCTGACATTGAAAGATTTATGCCTATTGTTTATACTCCCACTGTGGGTCTGGCGTGCCAACAATATGGTATAGCATTTCGGAGGCCAAGGTATGTAAAGCTACACTTCACATCCAAGTAATAGTATATTTCTTCCCTTTGGCAGGTTTCTACTGAGGTTTTCTTCCCCTCTCAGCATAGTTGAACGTAACCCAAAACTGAAATAATTAGGATAATTCAAACTATATTAAGTACACTTTTAGTCTAGCTAAACTGTAATTTGTATTGTGTTGCAAAAATAAACAGTTACTTCAGTGCTTTAGGCATTGATAATTTTTTAAATCTTTCTTGATTGAACTGGAATTGTCTGAAGAACCAAGGCTGTGTATTAATAACAATAAAATGAAGAAAAGATCCTATCCAACCTTGATTTAACAATTAAAATAGCAATGGCAAAGGTGATTTAAAACTGGAAAAGAAAACTAATAGACTTTTGATATGTAATAAGTACTCTTTCTGTAATTATGACAGAATAGAACTTTATAAATAACTTTAAGATGTTACTATTCCCCCTGGTAACATTAACAGCCTCTGTAGTTCACATTTGTTTTTCTTCCAATTGTTTAAGTTGCCAGCTTTTCCCTTATTTTATCAGAACTTTCTCACAGTATATTTGTACAGTATCTATGTTTACAGTGATCCCCCTGGTTTTCTTTTCAGAGGCCATGAGCTGCATTATTGAAATGTTTAAACTGCATAATTATTAAAATAACTAGATTTGATTATTCATTAACGAGATTAAAAGGGACAGACAAATAAGGAAGGGTGGAGGAGTTGCATTATATGTAAAGGAGGTATATACTTGTGAGAAAATACGTGAATCTGAGCATGAAAGTCCAGTTGAGAGTCTCTGGGTAAAAATATCATGGTGAGGTTCTGCTATAGACCACCAAGCCAGGCAGAGAGACTCCTGGAACAGATTACAAAGTTCTCAAAGAGACGGGACATGGGAGATTTCAATTACTCAGATATCTGTTGGAAGTCCAACTCTGCTAAAAATGAAAGGTACAATAAATTCCTGACTTGTCTTGCTGACAACTTCATTTTCCAGAAAGTGGAGAGGGAAACAAGGGGATCTGCTATCTTGGACTTGATTCTTACCAGCAGGAAAGAACTGGTTGACGAAGTGAAAGTACTGGGCACCCTGGGTAATAGTGACCATGTAATTTTGGAATTTACAGTCTTGGGGAAGGTATAAGCTGTACATAGACATATAGGTTGCACTTCAGGAAAGCAAATTTTGATAAACTTAAAGTTATGCTGAGTAGAATCCCATGGTCAGAAATACTTAAGGAGAAAGGAGTTCAAGAGGGATGGGAGTTTCTCAGAACTTTTGAAGAGAAGATAATTTTACCTTTACAAAAAATTATGAATGATATAAGCAAAAAGAATATAGTGCCACCATCCTGGCAAGAAGCTCATATAACATTACGACATAAAGAGAATAATGACCCAGTGCTGCCACAGTCATATAGACCTATTTCATTATTGAATGTGGACTACAAAACTTTTGCCTTCAATTTATATACCGTTCAGACCCGAAGGTCTCTGAGCGGTTTACAGGGAAGTTTCAAATGCACTTTTTAATTCCTTAAGTAAGGCCACATAGTAACGGGGTGGGGCTGCCTACCGGCACCCAGGTGGTGGACTGGTTGTTGTTTCCTGGCTCCGGCATTCTTCCTTCAGATAGTCCTTGGGGTCGGCGTCCCATTTTTCTGGTGTCCTCCAGCTCGGTGGTCTCCTGGAGCGCAGCCCCTGTCAGTTCTAGCCCAGCCTACGTCCATATTCGGCTCCGCCGCGCCTGCGCCTCCACGCCACCACGCACCTCTGTGACTCCACCTCCTTCTTCACTGTCGGGTCTCGCCACATGATGTTGCTGGCCACCAGGGATCGCCTCGCCGTTGCTCCGCCGCTACTGCCGCTGTTGCCGCCGCTGATGCTCCGCCACACACCTCACAGAGGAGGGTGCCCCTTACCCTCTAAGAGCAGGTATCTCCAAAGTAATTCATCTTAATCAGACTGGTTTTGTACTAAAAAAGACATATGAAAGACGATGTTTGTTTTGTTATTGATGCAATAGAACATGTTAAACACAAGGGCGAAAAAGTAGCCTTTATGTTCTTAGATGCTGAAAAAGCCTTTGATATCTTGGACTTTTCTACAAAAAATTGCAATATTTCAAGTGTGGTTCTGGATTTTTGAATTTGATACAGAACATCTACACCAAACAACATGCAAAAATTTTAATCAACAGGGTCTTGACAAATGGATTCAAAATAGAAAAAGGAACCCGTCAAAGATGTCCACTGTCTCCACTTTTCATTCTTGTGATGGAAATCTTTGCTTCCAAGGTAAAACAAGATCCCAAAATTAAAGGATTAAAAGTAGAAGAAGAGGAGTTTAAACCAAAGAGCTATGCAGATGACATGATTCTTACAATTTCAACCCCCCAACAATCTCTCCAAAATGTAATGGAGCAAATTGACAAGTCCATATTCTTTTCAGGTTATAAAATCAACAGAAAGAAAACCAAGATTATTTTAAAATTCTCAAGAAGAAGAGGAGATTAAGAAAAATTCAGAATGTGATGTAGCAAGCAATCCAGTCAAATATCCAGGAATATTATCTCACGAGTCAGAATGATACACTGTTAAAGGATAATTACATGATAACCTGGTCCAAAATACAAAAAGACCTTGAAAAATGGTCCAAATTACAGCTATCCTGGCTATGAAGAATTTCTGCTATAAAAATGAATGTACAGTGACAGAGATGAAGGCAGAATTTTTGCTAAGTGAAATGGATGTGGCCTACAGATCATATTCAGGATACATAAAGAAAAATAATCTGCCTGGGGAAATTGTCATAAGATTCTCAAAGAGGCATGTAAGGGATGCAATCCTGAAAGCAGCATCTGGAGCACCCCTGAGAGCTGGGGAGAGTGTCATCAGAGTACTGAAGGATATTTCATTTGAAATAAGACAGCGGAGAAAGAAATATAAAGATCTTGTTCTTTTTCTTCAAACAAATTCAATTAGATATAGATGGCTAATTCCAGAAGGCGTCACCTTTAAAATTAAGGATAAAAAATAAAAGATTGATTCTGTTCTGAAAGCGAGAGAATTTTTAAGAGTCCAGCTGGGAGGGGCAGAGGAGGAGGAAAAAGAAGGGGACAGCAAGTCCAGTGGCGAGCTGGACTTGGGTTCTTCTGGAGAGGACTCTCTGTCTGAGAAAGGGGCAGCAGCTCCTAAAAGTCCTTATAAGTTGCGGAAGAGACTGGACAAGAAGAAGTGAAGGTTGAAGGACTCTGAATTGTGCCTTTGAAAAATTTTGAATTGTGATGCTTTGGGGTATTTCCTGATATCAGTTAAATTTAAGATGTGGGAAAAGTTAACAGCCTTCCCAGAACCCTTGATATCTCCAGATAGATTCCCCAATGATTATAATGGTCGCATAGGGTATAATGGAGCTGAAAAAAAATGGTATTTCTGAAAAAAAAACCCAACCAAATCCGAATACCATAGTGGTATTGGAATTCGGGTTTTTCAGGGAATTTAGAATTATTTTGGTTCCAATATATCTGAATTTGAAAAATCTCAATTTTTGTGTGTGTGTGCACACCCCTATAGGCTACTCTGGTAGACCGATGCATTTTTGTTAATTGAAGAGGAAGATTAAAAAGAAAGTGGAAGAAGGAACAAACTTAACTGCCACTTAACCCTGTATGATTCACAATCTTTTGTTACCTGGGTAGATTATTAGAAACTACTTTTTGGAATAATGATTGTGCATCCATTAGGAAGATGTGAGAGACAGGTGAAAGGTATTTGCCTTATCCACTATTATTGCCAGACAAAGAATGCAGTGAGTAACTGCTGCACAGATCTGCCTATAGAAGAATGTGTTTACTTATCTTTAGCAGCCTTGGGTGGACTGTCTGTTTAAATATCCAGAGAGGCCCTGGTCTCCTCTAATGTTAGTGGTATTGTTAACAGTGGTGCATCTCCTATAGTGTGTGTGTGTGTGTATAAGTCCCCTCACTGTAAAATCAACACCCAGGCCAAACCACTGGACCTAGAGACACCAAATTCGGGGAGAGCGCTCCTACCGTGGTGTAGCTGCTTGCTAAGAAGGGTTTTTTAGAAATTTGACCCCTAAGTGGGTCAAAAGGGGGGAAATCTGCACCCCCCACTCTGATTGGTCAGCTGCAGAGCTCAGTGTTCTGAGGTAAAAAAGCCAACAGTTACAAGGGACTGCAGACAGCTAATAACAGTTGAGAAAATCAGGAGTGGCCAAGAACCACCTGTGAGGTGAAGCAAAGCTGCTGGCCCAGCCTCTCTGATGGCTTCCAACACACTCCCCCCACCTCCTACACCTAACAGGCGGTTGTCAGGAACTTTGGGCAGGTAACACCACACACTCAGGCTTCTTCAGAAGACAAGTGTTTATTGGGTAATTCCAGTACTAAAGTAACTCATGTACAGCTTGTGTTAGGAATGGTCTGTAATATGATGGCCACTGACTTATAGGATATTCAAACAGCCCCTCCCCTCCATTGCAAAAGCCAATAGTTGGTTTCTGGGGAAAAGCTAGCAAGCAAGCATTTTTGCACCTAAACTGTTACATTTCCCAGGCCGGGTGATTTACAGACAGAATACACACAAAGGTGATTTCTACAGATAGCCAGCTGCACGAGACAGGGAAGAGCTGGTAAGGCAGAGGAGGGAACCCCCTCTACATTCCAACTCAATGACAGGGCTACCTGACAGCGGTTGTCAGGTGCAGCCCCACCTCCACAGTGGCCTCTAATACTCCTCCCCCTTCTACACTGGACAGGCAGCTGCCTGTCAAGTGTAGGAGAGGAGGTGGGGTGGTTTTCAACACACTCTCCCCACCTCCAACACTTAACAGGCGGTTGTCTGTCAGGTGCAGCAGCAGTTGCAGGGTGCTTAAAGCCGCGAGGGAGCCTGCCCCAGCAGTAACACCTTAGTGATCCTGCCAGCCCTGCCTCCACAGTGGCTTCTAATACTCCTCCCCCCTCCCCGTCCTACACTAGACAGGCAGCTGCCTGTTAGGTGTAGGAGATGCTTACAGCCGCCGGGAAGGTTTGCTCAGCAGGATTGTCTTAGCACTGCTGCTGGCCCAGCCTCCCCGATGCCTTTAAATATAATCCCCCCCAACACCAGACAGGTCGGTGTCTGTCAGGTGTAGGAGCAGGGCCAGGGTATGAATGTTTACGGGGAGATAGTAAAGGACGTTTCTAGGAGCCATTTCGATGCGTGCCTCCCTCATGAACCTGAAGACATGTCCACCACATCACCACTCCCTCACACCAACTCCCCCTCACACCTCTCACCTCTTACTGTCCTGAAGAAAGCTCCTGGCAAACGTCGAGGCAGATACACCAACGCTACAAGGAGGAGGCAACGTAGGAATGTGGCAAAGACATTTGCACATAGTACTCCTGCAGTGCACTGAGCTGTGCGGGCCAAGTACCAGCAAGATCACCCTGAGGTGCTCAGAACAACACAGTCTCCATATGAGCAAAACAATCCAGGAACACAAGTAGAGAGGCCATCACTTTTGTGAAAGGTAGCAGGAGTTGACTTAACAGACGACTGCTTCTTAAATGGACAGTTTTATGTGGCCTGCTCCAGAGTGAGCTCATCAAGCAGCCTGGTG